TAGAAAATATTTTCCTTTTCCACTCCTTTTCTAGGCTATCAAACGAACCCTAAATGTTAAAAGAATTGTATGCGTGCATGTGTAGAATTTATGACTTGTGAGCAAAACGAACATTTATTATTTAGGGAAAGCAAATTTGCCTACTTATGATGGAACTCGTCTTTTTGTGTAGTGAGAGTCGATGACTTCTGTCCTGCTCTCATTTCTTATGCGTTAACTGTACGGGTCTTCCATGTTTTGAAAAGTTTGTGTGAAGTGTGTTATAATTAAATCCAAAGAGTTTGCTGAGCACCCGATGAGATTAGTCGAGCTAATTCGTTCTTTTGGAGTTACTTTGTAATATTGATCTACTTCACCTCCACCTTCACCTAGGCGGCACAGTCATTCATACATGGTCTAACTTAGATTGTTCAATATTGATCGACTGGACTAATTCTTCAATGTTATTTTTGAGAATTAAGTGCGCATGTACAAGTTCTACTACTTCAACAAATCTTTTTGTTGACGAAATATCATTATACTTCTTATTAGGGTACACGTGTGTTATGGATTGAAATTCTCTGATATCAGTATGTTGTAAGAAAATAAGTGATTAAGACACAATGTGAAGTAATTGATTACAAGAATACTAGAACAATTTTGGCATAGAATGTAGATTTTATTATAATATGAAGAAATAATACAAAGATTATGTATTTACAATATTTTTAACTTCTTATGTGAAAAAATCAATGCGACTAAGTTTTAGAGAAGAGTCAATATCTGTAGAAAACAAATAGAGGACATCCAAACACTTATAATAGAGTTGTGGTTGAAATAAAATGTAAAAAACGGAGTCAAAAACGAAAAATGAGACCAAAACAGCATTGAGAGGCATTCAGGCACCACCCGTAGATGCCGTAGATAGTTTTCTCCAAAAATTTGATTTTCTTCATCCAAAGTCCTCTTCAAGTCAAGCGCAAAATATGAACTTTCAAATAAAATTTCAATTAGAATTCGTCAAGTAAACTTGAATAGAATTTCACAATAGCATTCCAAATAGAATTTTCCTTAACGTGTAGTTTAATTAGAACTTGTTGATATTCGACCTCACCAAGGCGAGCTCCGACTTAGAGTATAACTGTTGATATCCGACCTCACCAAGGGAGCTCCGACCTGAGAGATAACTGTTGATATCCGACCTCACCAGGCAAGCTCCGACCTGGGGGTAATCCGACGTGCGGATTCATTGGTCAGCCCGGTTCATGTAGTTTATCAATGCTCAAGGAGATATAATGATTGAAGATTCCTTACACACTGTCAAACGTCCAATCAATCAATTACATTTAGATAGGCTCATGACAGCACATCTTAATTCCACCAATCATATGCCTTAACTTCATTCTCTAAGTAATTCATTAATTGTTGGAGATCACATGTAAGATAAACCCATGATGACCTAACAAATCGAGCTCATTAAACCAATCCAAACATGCTAATGATGTATTTTCTCAGTTCGGTACTGTAGCTGATAAGACAAGGAAATGAAGAATACATGCTAATCATTTCCTATAAAAGAGAGGATAAGAGTCTTGAAAAGGAAGATGATTCTAAACACATTATTTCAAATATCTCCTTTGACAAAAATAAAGGAAAACACTTATAGTTTATTCTTATAATTTACAAATCATTATCAGTAAAAATCCCCATTCACATTCTAAGTTGGCCTGGATTT